CGAGCTTCGCCTCGGCCTCGGACAGCTCCGCCGCCTTCGCCTCGGCCTCCTGGGCGGCGCCCTCGAGCCCACGCCTCGCGCCGGCGAGCTCGGCCTCCAGCCCCTGCGCGCGGGCCGCGAGAGCCTCGCCCTCCCCGCGCAGCGCGGCCGCCTCCCGGCGGAGCGCGGCGTTGCCGTCCTCGCTCTCGCGCAGCTCTTCCCCGCGGCCGACGAGCTCGGCCTCCAGCCGGGCCGACAGCGCCGTCAGCTCGCCCGCCCTTTCCCTGGCGGCGGCGAGCTCGACGCCCGCCGACTCGGCCCTCCGGGCGGCCTCCTCCGCCGCGGCGAAGCTCGCCTCGGAGGCGGCTTTCGCTTCCCGGAGCCGGGCCTCGCTGGCGTCGTTTGCGGCACGCAGGCCGTCCTTGTCCCGCAGCAGCGCCTCCTCGCGCTTCTGCGCCTCGCTCGCCTGGAACTCGATCTCCGCCTTCGCCTTGACGAGCTGTTTGTTTTTGACCATCAAGAAGGGGCGGCGGTTGAGGTGGATAGGTGCATCGAGTTTCGGTGGGCACTGGGGACGGAGGCAAGATCGAGGCACTCACGCAGGCTGATTGACCTCCCAAGGCTACCAAGCAAGAGGCAGAGGGCTTATTTATTTGTTTATTTTCAGTGTTTTTGTCGTCGGCAGAAAACGAACCACGACTAGTAACTAACAAGCAGCCGTCATCCAACGAGAGAGAAGGTCGCATACCGCAGCAGGCCTATGGAGGACAGATTTTCGACAACCAGTCGCTACTGCTGTGGGTGCCGCCACCACCACCGGCCTAACGAAAAAACAGTTTCAGCACGAAAGAGCTTTGAATCGGAAAACCGGCAGCCGCCGCAGCGGCACCGACATGACCCCTCACCCCCCCCCGCAAAAAAAAACAGTTGGTCGTCGGGACAAAACCCAGAGTGCCAGAAACGGTCAAGCACAAGCACCAACACATATCACAGAATCGCCTTCGCGAGAATGAAATCATTAATCTTAGAAAACAGGCAGGGGGGTTTCGTATCCCTATCCCAATATCCCTGTTCCCACCCCGTACCCCCTACTACAACCAAGCTCAACACATCCGTCGCGTGGAGGCTATCAATTGATACCACAACCACACCTCATCGATCCTGTCCTCCAGGTCCTTCGCGTGAGAGGCGAGCTCCTCCTTCCGCTGCTGGAGGTCGTCGCGGTCGGCTTCCGTCCGCTCCGCCTCGAGAGCGGCCGCGGTTACCTCCGCGGCCAGCCGGGACGCCGTCGCCTCGGCTTCCTCGAGACGGCCGGCGTCGGCGATGACCGTTGCGGCCTTGCGCTCGGCGGCCTGGGCGCGCTTGACCACCTTTGCCGACTCGGCTCGCGCATGCCTCTCGCTCTTCGCCAGCGCTCCCTGCGTGTTGTTGTGTGTAGGTTTGTGCAAAGGCAGGATCAACGGCTACGGAGGGGGTGGCATCGGTCACAATCGCTGCGAGCACGATTTTTGTTCGGTGGGGCGGGGGTGTGGCACGCGAAGCTTACGCAGCTACGACGTAGTACAAAGTTTGTTAACGAGGCACCTTGGCAGCTGTGGAAAGAACACGACTTTGTTGACGTGAGATATCGTAGTTGAGCCCAAGGGTTAGCAAACAGAGATCCGAAATGATGACAAAACATGGTGTCAGTATTTTCTTGGCTTCCAGATGAAGCTTTTAGAGTCCATTGATGATGCGAACCACCGGATACAACATCGCAGTAGTTAAATGTTCTCCCCGCCTAGGCTAGACCGACAAGCAGACCCGCCGCCGAGCCAACACGGCATGACCGTAGACTTTAGCGGGCGTGTCTGCGTTCGAGCCAATGAGAGACACCATGTAGACTATCGTACACGTAGATACATGTAGGCGCTAAAATAGTCAACGGCACACATGGTGCACCTACCGCCAACAGGCGTGACGTGCATGGCAGGAGAGACATGATCCGCGGTGGCGTTGCCTTCGAAAAAGGGGATGGCTTCTCGGTTGTCCTGTCTATTTAATTGTCACTAGTTTACACTTGCTGCACTATTTTGACCGACAGGGCAGCGCATCCTGACAGCAGATATACGTTCTGACTCGAACGGGATCATGAAATAACGCGAATATTTCAGATGGATCCTACCAAAGGGGGGAGGAGTCTGAAATTGGTGTTTATTGGAGTTGATAGAAGAAGTGGGCATTTATATTATATGGCAAAGAGTATGTCTGCGTGCTTGCAGGAGAGGAGGCATGCGCGCCGAGATAAGGAAGCTGCTCGCAGGAGATTCCGTTTGCGCCCGATCACGTTGAAGCATCAGCAGTGCTGGAGCACAGGGACTGCTAGACGTACGATTGGACAACACTGCCAGCTGCTGGTTTAGGACATTCTGTTCCGGGAGCTAGTGTTGTCGTCTTTTCGTCTTTTCCGACGGGGCGGAGGCCACTACCGCTGGGCGGGAGGAGTCGCGACGTCGAGAATAATAAAAATGACACTTCGGAAAAATACAATAAAATACGAAATACGCTGGTTGCTAGCAAAGATCCTCCTCTTCCTTCCGACATCAGTAAGAAGTAAAACAACTGGTACAAGTGGATACATGTGAGTTGGGCTGCTTCGCCGAGATGAGGGCTACACCTTGGGATAGAGTTGTCGACGCAAACCGTACACAAAGCACACAGCTGCTGTGTCAGCGTCTCGTAAGGCCAGGCGTGCGCAAGAGAAATCGATTGCCGTTTTCACGTCACCCTTCTCCACCCAGGGCAGGTGTAGTGTGCATGCTTTCCATCTTGCCTCGAACATCATTACGAAATGGCGGGAAGCATGCCACCCCCGGAACATGACAACCCACACCGCCAGATAGGCATGACGCACTTCAAAACCAACGAGCCACCCAGTATGCAAGCCTCAAGCACGCGATGTCCGACATCCCATGCGAGAGGCACGTCTTCCTCCATCCATCTGGCTTTCTCTCCTTTTTATCCCTCAGTCGTCTCAAGCGCGCGCCCCACCTACTAGTCTACTGCTGTTTAGATACCTGCAGAGACCGAAGTGTCTTGACCTCGTCTTGGAGCTTCTCTCTTTCCATCTCCAACCGCACCAGCTGCTTCTCCTGCTGCTCCGCTTTGACCTTCTCTAGCCTCGACGCACCGACGTTCAGGGCCGGGCGAGGGCGCCCGAAGCCGCACGTAGTCGTGGGCTGCTTGGAAGTCGGCGCCGGCAGGCTGAGAACTTCCTCCGTCGTTACCGGGTTGTTTTGCTCGCGATCCAGCGTCATGCCCTTCGTGGACGTGAAGCCGAGGCTGACGGCACCGGCCATCCCCTGAGACCTCGGCAGGCAGGGGTCATAGTCTCCGGGCCCGAGGTTAGATCCCGTGATCTTCTCCTCGAAGCGGTCGACCTTGGATTGTGCCCAAGACACCGCCATCATGTGCCCTAGATTTGCAAGTTGCCGTTGCGGTGCTGTTCCGGCGCGCGCAGAGGCTGTGCTGCTGGTCGTGCTTCTTCTCTTCTCGCGAGAGACTTTCCTTCCTCTTGGGTCGCGGCGGTGGCCACTCGCCTTTGTCCAAGTCTGCTATTCCTCGCGGCTTGCTGTGCTGACTGCTGCTGGGTCTTGGTTCGGTGTACTGTAATCGGCCCCTGCTGGGTGAGGTGCGTACGACGCCTGCGGGTTGGTGTGGGTATGCTTCTTCCGCTGCTGCCTGCCGCGCGGGCTTTTTTCCTGGTGCTGTTTTTTTTTTTCGCGCAAAAATAATTCACAACGGTCGAATACATCTACGGAGATTGCGGCACAACAAAACATGTTCTCTCTCGATCTCTCGATCTCTCAATCTCTCGGTCCCTCGATCTCGACTCGCGGGTCTCTCTCTCTCTTTCTCTCTCTCTCGTCTCATGCTTACGTATGCAACGACCTGCACGGGTGGTAATGGTTTCGGAGTCAAGGCGTGGCTGATCGTTTCCCTGTTTACCCGGCCCGCAGTCAGGGCGTGCTTTGTTCGGCCGCAGGAGCAAGTCCAGCAAGTCCACAGCAGCAGCCGTTTTTCTCCCGGAACGAAAGCGTTCGCGAGCAAGTGTTGTGTGCACAGATAACCTCAGCTGAGTGCAGAATACACAACGAGGCAACCTTCACTAAGAGCGGGCAAAGGGGACCATCGCGGGGAAATTTCTAGGGAGGGTGGTGAGAGTACAGGGAGAGGTGGCAGAGAGTGAGGGGGAGATGATATAGGTGTGTGAGAGAGAGAGCGAGAGAGAGAGAACGACACACAGAGAGAGAGCCAGTGCAGCATACAACGGGGGCCAAGGCACGAGAGAATCCGCTAATAATCGACCACATCGAGGAGACACCGATAGAAGATCATCTACACATGTGTAAGCACATCATCAACGCGAAGGTACGCCGGATTGTAGTGGAGTACTACAACGCAAGTAATGCATATGTACAAGCGCATACACTTTTTTTGAAAAAAGTCGACATAGACCGCTTGTGTATCTCTTTACGTATGTATCTACCGTATATGACACAAGATAACACACCCCCTTGACCGATTTTCAAAGCTCGATTTCTCAACAGCAGGAAGAGTCACAGCGCCGAAAACGGCGGCGTTGGAACCGTCTCGTCGAGAGCTGTTCGAAAACGTATTGTTTTATTTATGCATCCTCTTCGTCGTGGAGTAATCGAGCTTTGAAAATCGGTCCAGGGGGTGTGTTATCTTGTGTCATATACGGTACGTTCTTTAAGCCTATACAAGTAGACCTTTCTCTTTTGTGTGTGATCGCACTGCTGTGTCGCAACACCGGAGAAGAAGTTTACCAAAGGTGGTAGACTATGTGGACTGCGACGGCGGTAGTATATCTGTGTGCAGTCTACAAAAAATCTCTTTACGGGCAAGACAGACACAGATCAAGCCACGGACGGACAGACAGGGAGTTCATTCGCAACTACGCAGACGGAGGTAGGTCACGAAGGAGGCCACCCCATCGTCAGTGAAATAGTATATCTCCCCGAGATGCGTAGGACATGCATGTCCGTCCGTGGAGAAGAGGTCACGTCTGGGAGAATTCTTGGCGGTAGAAGTCCAAGATGTATCGTAGAGTCGTAGCGCAGCCTACAGTAGATACCGGCAATTTCTTGACGATCGCGTAGCGTTCGTTGTGGTTCGAGCGGGCTACTTGTCTGCACAGGCACCGCCGCCGTGTTACAAGGAGTCGCACATGCGTTATACCGACTTGCAAGCCCAGCGATCGCAATAAAAGCTCATGCTTGTCCCCGGCCAGGTCAGCATCCAATTCCCGTGTTGTAAGAGATGGTACGAGTGCCCGGAGTGTCACGACGAGCGTGAGAATCACCCCCAACGTATAAGTACAAAAAACGTGGTGAGATATGCACACTATTATTATTATTATTGTGCAATGTTACGAGTGGGTAGAAGATGATTGGGCATGTTCTGGAAATTTCTACCACGCACCGTAGGGAGTGACTATTAAAAAGAATGGGGTGCGGCTGGCAGGGTGGCGTCTACTCGGAGCTATATTGATGTCGAAATACACGACGAAGCTGTCGGTAGCATTATTCCAGCTCAATGTGAGAGTCATCATTGGCTGCACGACCAACGTTTCAGATAGACAAGTCCGGCAGTGGAGAATATTTAGGGAACAACTCTTTGCATGTGCTATCTCTCGCTCCAGCTTTCGTCCCACGCACACATCCCCGGCATCGAGACAGGCGTTCGCGTGCAAGACGTGCCGGAAGATTTTCGTGAAAGATCTCAGGTACGTCGGCTCACGATTTATACCTGCATGTATGTATGTAAGCTTCGTAGGGGAATACGATGTGCCAAACAAAGACTTCGTAGGTGAGTACGATGTACCAAACAAAGCGTAATTGAGTTCACTAGATAAAGGCCAAACCATTAGACCACTCAGTCAGGTCAGCTGACTGAGTGGTCTAATGGTTTGGCCTTTATCTTAATAGAGTTCTAATCGAAAGGGTAATGCTGCATGCTCGCGAAATAAACACGTACACTCGCGCCGCTCGTGTTGTTTTTCCTCAATCCCCCCCTGCAACGGTATCGTTTCCGGGACCAGCATCTACGGTACAGAGGACAGCGCTTGCCCGCACTGCGAGACGGTGTTTGTGCTACCTGCGGTGACTCCCGAGGCAAAGGTGGCGCAACTCGCGCTGAGCATACTAGCGGCGGAGGTGTCCGCTGAAGTGTCAAAGTTCTGAAGAAGATTGCGTGCGTGTAAACTATTGTGGGGTTTGTACCCCACCACGAGGCTGTTGGAGCCTCCTGCCTAAATTGAACCGTGTCATTCGCCGCCCGCAGTGCTTACTTTCTGGAGGTGGAGGAGCATCGTATGGCGGGGCGCGGCTATGCGCAGGTCGGTCTCTGACGCATGCTGTGTGTAGAAGGGGTGCGTCTTTTTGTCACAGGAATTGCACTCGTTTTGTCCTTCATCGCCTTGTCTTTTTCGGCGTCCGTCAAAACCTTTGCTTCGCACTGAATACTCCATCGGCTTCACTCTGTACGCGTGAACCACTGAACGGGTAAGCCATGATTGCTGTGTCGTTTCAGGTTGTTCGGTTTGTAGGAAAACTGGCTTTGACAAGACAAGACACGGCCAGCTAGGGCAGAGGTCTTTGGGTTGTTCGTCGGCTTGCCGCGCTCCTTGCCATAGCACCGTGCTCCGAAGGGCTATACGACTGTGACACATCGGTCATCAACATTTTTTTTTTTTTTTTGTCTTCACTTTAAATCAGCGCTCACAGCACTAGTGCCGTTTACTCCAACCCGTGGTCACACAGAAGAGCTTCTCTCTACCCTCCCCTCCTGCGGTACTTTGCCTTCGATTTTGAATGCGAGAAGAGTTCAGCACTCTCTTCCCTCTGTGTACACACGAACTTGCGCTATCCACTAGACCAGGAGCGGAAGCGAGAGAAAAACTCACTTTGCAAGAAAAGGTCGCTTACGCCGGCATTCGAACCCCTGACCTGACCTCTAGAAGGTTTCGCGGATACCAACTAGACCACATGGTACATTTCGAAGAGCACGGCCCAACCCTGAACACTCACGCCGTAGAGTACGAGAACGGCGTCCTCGGGCCCTCAAGCCTGATACACCTACAAGTTACGGGAACGCAGTGTGTGTACACCGCTCGTTCACCCACCACAAGCACGGTCCTTCGCGTCACGCCGAAAATCTGCAACAGACAAGTGGTAGAGCCCGGTTAACGGTACCAAAAACAAGTCCTCGTGTACTAAGCGACTGTTTAACTCGATACATGTCATTGTACGGGAAGTAGAGTCTAATAGTTAAGGTGCCACGCCCGCCTACAACTCTGGTCTCAACAAAAAAAACACACACACACGCAAGGGTAAAAAAAAAAGGGTTCTCAGGAAAAATGTCGAGGGGATGGAACGTCGGAAAAACAGAACCGACAACACGCTTCCACAGAAGACTTGATCCCCGACCCCGAAACACACTCCATCACCAGGGCGTTTTTCCACCTCGTGCTTATCATCCAAGCTTGTACGTACCGCCGTACGTCGCACGAATCGGCATTGGTGCATAAGCCGTGTCCTACACTTGCATCCCTCCTTCCCAAGATATTACATGCAGCCGTGAAGCCCAAGTCATAGGCGTGTGTCAGCTGATCTACAGAGAGACACACCCAACAAACCGCGAAATGACTGCTGGTAGAGACCAGCTGGGCTATCTAACGTGACGAGGATGGCTGCAGTGCGATCCGAAGTATGCCGCGAAGATGCGACTGGAATACTGGACGCGAAAGACTGCCCATGAACGCGCGCTCGCTCTCCGCATCCAGACACCTCAGATGGTTGATCTGGTACCGGCTCGGCCTTCCTCGCTGTATCGCAAGGTAGGAAAACGAGACCCCGCCCGTGGCAGACTAAACCACCACATCACGGGACCTTGGCTTAAGTCGAGGCACCATTTTGGGGTTCACCCGAAGAAGGTCGAAGTGTCGCGGGCGTGTGCAGCACGTTGATCCTTATCATGTCAAACCGGCGCAAATTGCCGCACCCAGTGCGCACGTCAGCGTGGGGAGAAAACTGAATAAAAAGATCTGACCACGCGCACGCTCCTTCCTCAAGACTCTTCCACCGCTTGAGTGATTATTTTCCAAATCTATTCAGGGCGCCAGTCTCGACCTTTTCGGTGCCTGCTTGGAAGCAACCAGCCGGTGGGTACCCATGAAAACTCCAGCATGGAATGAAAAACACCACGAGTACAGGGCGGATCACTCCTTCTTCTTAACGCTGCTGCTTCTCCACCACGAAGCCGCACGGCAGGACATATCAATCTTCCTCAACAAACGGACGCATGCGTGCACGAGCCGCCGCACGAGCCCTCCACAAACCATCGCAACGCGTGCCAGACTTTGGGCCTACGAGAGTGAGGGGGTGACCCAAAAACCTCGCAAACGTGTCAGATTTTTATTCAGGCTTGCGAAAAGTGAGGCGGTCGTCGTCAGAGCATCACGGGGCTTTCGCTGCTGCTGCTGCTGCTGCTGCTGCTGCTGCTGCTGCCGCCTCCCCCAACCGCCTGGGCCACCGCGGCCGTCAAGGCCGCCACCGTCCTCACGAGCTCCACCCGCGAGGCCTCCAGCCTCACCGAGGCCGCCGCGTACATGGTCACCGACGGCGCGGTCGACCGCACCACCGCCAGCACCGTCGACACGGCCTCCTGCGTCGACCTCGCCGCGAGCGTCGCCGGCTCGGCCGCCGCCACCACCGCCGGGGCCGGGCCCGCGTTCGAGATCACCGTCAGCGCCTCGCGCACGGCCACCATCGCCACCAGCGCCGAGTCCAGGGTCGCCCCCCGGGCTTCCGAGAGCGCCTGCCGGTCGGCGGTCGCTCTCCTCTCCGCCGCGGTGGGCGTGGGCGTCAGCCCCCTCTCTAGGGGGCCCCGGCAGCAGGGGCAGCCGATGTTCCCCGCCCTGCGGTTCTCGGCGAGGCACGCTCGGTGGAACTTGTGCTGTGGCACAGGAAGGTTGGAGGACAGGAAGGGGGGGGGAGAGGAGTTGGGTGAGCAACGCGCGTACTTAGATGCGTGTGGCCGGTGCTCGTGAGAGTGTAGGGTTCGAATGCGCAACAACAAACGAACTTGGTTTTTCATCAATGGAACGAGAGATAAGACCGTTGTGGCGCTTGAGGAAAAGCACGTCTGTGTGGCATTGTTGTGGGTCGCATGTTTGTCGCAGACACTTGTTGACTTCTCTGCACAGCACGTGCTCGTCGCAACAGGTCATTCGACCAGGAAAGCAAACGCGACGGGACTGCTGTACCGCGACAGAATTGCGGGGGCAGACATCGACCTAGGCCTCGTCTATTTTACATTGTTTCTCGCGAAGCAGCATGTGGAGGTTATGTTGAGAGAACGTCGAAGAGAGCTGAGACTTCGGAGATGCACGTGCTACAGTATAGGCCCGCCAACCACAAAGTCACAGCTCTAAATGGACGAATAGGGCCGACAACATTGCGGAATGCTCACGCCATCTCTTGACGTGAGTAGCAGCAGAGCACACACACATGCAACTACCGCTGTGGAGCATTAAAAAATACTTCCTTCCCTCGCCAAAAAAGGGTAGTGGCACCATCAAGAAATGTCCGACAGCCTGTGGCGCAGCAGCAGCACGTGCGCGCACATGATATCTGCTCGTGTCCAACAAGCTAGAGTGTGCCATGCGCGTACCAGCTTGCTGCTAATCTGCATCATCTGCGACACGTGCGACCGGTATCCACCGATTTGCCAAAACGTAAACTACTGCAACACTACATGCACCCTTGGTGTAGTTACCCCGGCCTGCTTCTCACCCCACACGCTTGGATCTGGTACACTTCCTGCTGCTGCTGCTCCTCCTGCGGCTGCTGGCTAGAACTCCTCAACGGGCAAAGACAAATAACGCAGTCTCCCTCCCAGCACCCCGCGGTTGTCTTGACCTCCTCTCCCTCGCCGCTCTGCTCGCTGTTGCCGGGGCTCCCGGCTCTGCCTGGCGTCGGTGTTCGCGGTATCGGGGAAAGGATTGTCGGCGCTGCTGCTGAAGGCGGATTAGTCGTCGCAGCAGCCGCGGCGGCGGCAACGGCCGTGGCGGCGTCGGCAGCACTTCTCGCAACGCCGCCGGCGGCGGCGGAAGCCCTTGACCGAGGACGCGGCGTGGCGGCCGACTGGAGAGCGGACGGGGCCCATGCTGCTGCTGTTGCTGTTGTCGATCGGCTCTGACGAGAGCTTGTACTGGGAGCGGCGGCGGAAGACCGAGAACGCGTTGCTGCTGGTTGCCTCGCCGAAGCCCCCCGTTGTCGTGCCGCTCTTCTTGCCCGCTCCGCGCCCCTGCTGCTGCTGCTGCTGCTGCTGCTGCGCGAACTTGTTGTTCGGTGTAATGGCGAACGGTGGATCTTTCCCCGCGAGAGGTTAGCTGCTGCTGCTGCTGCCGCCGCCGCCGCCGCTGCCGCCCGCGCCGCCTTGCTCCGAGTCCTCGGGGCTGCTGCCTCCGTTGCCGCTGCCGCTTCCCGCGCCACGGCCCCACGAGTTCTCGGTCTCGTATTCATAGCTACAACTCCACACCGCCCCGGTTGTTCGTATGTGTTGCAAGAGCGTGTGGGGAAGGGAGGAGGGGTCGGAGGTCAATTGCTGGGCTGGTTTGTGGGCGTTCAGTGAAGGCAGATGCTGCTTAATGCTGATTTTACAACAAGTCGAAGCCTACAGAGTAGGCGACAGCTCCAAATTAGTCAATGTTAATGTTTGAGTCTCAACTTTAGTCGCCAGAGCGATTGTGACCAGTCGGCCCAAGTCGGGAGAGCTGCCCAGTGAAACAAAGTTGTTTCGACTGCGTCACTCATCGCGTCATGATGCCGAGTGGAAGACGGGTCAGCCACTGTAAGCAATTCATGTTCCTACACGAAGATGTGTGTGCTCCAGACGCTGCATGCCTGCATAGACTACACCATCACTTTTATGTATCTGGGATGCCCGAAACGGAGAACATGCAGGAAAAAATATGTGTCTGCTCAGAGGATCGACAACCTTCTTTTTTCTACACAAACTACTGCTGTTGCACAATCTTACCGCTGTTTTCCATCTTCGCGCTGCAGAGGTACCCCCCCTCGGAGGCGAAGGGGAGGCTTAGACTTTGTACAGAGTGCGATGCAGCAGGCGGAGTGGTGCCTGTGGAGAGTTTTTTAGTTCTCCAAAAGGCGACAGGCGGTTGGGGTGATTCCCAACCGTGTGGCATCCTTTGATGTTGATTGCGCCGCACGTTGCCTCTTGTGTCGCTGCTGGTTTCTACCGGCGCTTCTACCTTTGACCTTTGACAAACTGCTACACCTCCGTGCTCTGACTTGCAGCTTAGCTCTCGTACGTCTCCAAAGAGTCCACCATCACTATCACGAGGGTGCTAGACGACGAGTTCCACACAAGTTCCGGGACATCTGCGTGGATGGCCCGTCCGCCCAAACAAACTGGTGGCGCCATGAGTTTCCTGGATGACAGCGGCGGCAGCAGTGGCAGCGAGGGAGAGGGAGGAGCCCAAGCGCCCACAAGCAAGAGGTTGGGGTCCGGCTCTCGAGAAGGGGATGGCGAAAGGCTCCGGGTCAACGAAAGCTTCGCCAAAACGTGAGACAACCTAAGCGGACGCCGCCCAAGCTGCTGCTGTTCATGCTGCCGTGTTGACAAGGCAGCAGGTACAATAATACATAGCAGGGACACCTTCCCCAGAGTTGCGGACGAGAGGGAGGCCGACCGCAGTGTATTCGCTGTTGATATGGGTGGTTGTGGCGTGTGAACGGATGTCGACTAGGCCCCAAGTTGGCATGGCTTGTGGAGTGCACAACTTTTTGTTGGGAGTTGCGGTGGCTTCGGCTCTACGCCATCTTCGCGGTCTCCTTACCGCTCGCTCTACAGCCAGAGACGGAAACAGCAGCAGTCGTGTGGTGAAGGACATGCAAAGAGCGCAAGTCCTGACAATGCTGTCCGCTAAAAAAGTTCTTTGACAACCTGACACACAACGACGTAGAATTAAACATGCCAACGTCAGCATCAGCGACAGCAGTGGCAGCAGCGACAGCAGCACTCGCAGTGATAGGGTGTCTTAGGGTAGGTTCGGACGTAATGGAACGAATAGGCCGTTTCAAACGAGAATCGAACCGTCCCTCGACAAGCGCTTTTCAACGTTCGCTCTGGGCTTCGTTCGCAGCCCTTGTGTCCTGGTGATGTGCACATGTGCACGACGGCTGTGGCGCCTACCCTTGACCTCAAGCTCCTCTCGGGAGACTCATATGACGCCCACGCCCTCAATGATGTGCTTCATCTCTTGGTACACCTTCGTTGTCACGTCTAAATCCTCCCCAAACTCGAAGTATTTTGAACCCGCGCGCCCTCCATGGTGTGCCTCACCTGTTGGTGTTGTAACCCTCCCCCACCAGGTTCGAGAAGAAGAAGCGTGAGCAGGATCTGCAGGCCGCCAAGCACCTCGACTTGGGGTCTGACGACGAGGAAGGGTCGGAGTCGGACAGCGAGACGGAGGACGAGGACGCCGAGATGCTCACCCCTGCCTTGGACCTTCAGGTGCGATAGCAGTCTAGTCCATGTTGCTACATAGGAGTACGAAGTACTTGACACTAGGAGTCGTTTCCCACAAGGAAGGTGTGTCTGACGTGCCTCTGTATATTGAGAGTTACCTTTGACAAAGGGGTGCCGTGGAGACTCTCACCTGCCCACGAATTCCGTGTGTGGCTCGTTCTCAGCAGGACGTACAGCCACGGCGCTGCTCCGCTGAGACTCTGGGGTAGGGGTGATGCAAGGACGTTTCCCGGCTTTAGCGAGTGGTGGACACATCCCCACACGCGCATAACTTTTATCCTCAGAAAGATTGTCGTGCTTTTTTCCCGTGGCCACATCGCCGTTCCCTGCTGCAGATCATGAAGACGATCAACAAGATCAGGAGCAAAGATCCCGACATCTACGACGCGAAGAAAGAGTGGTTCAAGCCCGGAGAATCCAAGGCCGGCGGCGGGAGCGCTGGTGAGCAACCAGACAGTAACTTTACCTCCCGGAGTTAGGATGACGCACCCAGCAGCTGGCTTGGCCGTAAGGCGCTGCTTTCACAAGCTGATTCCCGAGTAGCCCGTGCTTTTCATTTTCTGCTCTCGCATTCATTGTCTGTGGCCACCGTCCGCGCCAGTCGGGCGTACATTTGCTCTTCGTTTTTCCCCTCCTTCTCTCAGCCTCTTCCGGCAATATACGATATTGGACTTGCAGCAAGGATGACTCGCCAAACCTGACCTGTCCGATGGAAGAGGCCAACAGGGTTCGTGGTCGTAACGTAGTGGTTCAAATGGAACGCCAACGCGCTGGTTGAATCGCTTCGGGTAGGCGGAGAGAAAGAAGAATTCCCGGAGCTCTCTACGTAGTCAGCTTCCACGACATCGATGCTTGCAATATGTGGCGTGCCTGTCCACGCCGTTTGTTTGTTCGCCAGATGACGCCTCTCAAGATGAGGAACACGAGACATACGAAGGCTTACCGCAACTTCGCCTTAACGTAATGACAAGTATGTGACGATATCAATGGTACGTCAACGTCTTCCATCATCTTCTCGAACCTGGCATTACCGCCGCTCTCTCGTGACTCAACTGTTATCGGTAGAAACTTCGCTTGGTGCCAGCTTTGTTCGTGCTCAAAACTAAACTCCATTCCACCCCCCACCCCCCCAACACCCACCCCGCCGCCCTCCCAACAAAAATAAACACGAAACAGACGGCAGCAGCAGTAACAAGAAGGCCGAGAAACGGATGCGCTACAAGGACGTGCTCCGCGAGCAGATCCTCCACGCGGAGAACGCCGAGGACGCCATCAGCTCCGACGAGGACAGCAACGACGACGAAGACAACAGGGGCAGCAACAGCCGACGGAAACGAAACGACAACGGGGGCGAGGGCCGGCGCGGCCTGGCGTACGACGAGGAGCAGGAGCAGCTCCGGCGAGGCCTGTTGGGTTCCATAGCGGAGCACGACGGGGGAGGCGGAAGCGACGACGGCGACGGCGGGGAGGAAGAAGAGGACAGTGACGAGGACGGGGGAGGTCTGCTCAAGGTGTGTGGGTGCGTGGTCCACATGTGTGTCAAGTTTTGTTGCACGACATGGTGCTTTTCTGTTTCGTGTTGTCGACCGCTCTGGAAGCCCACCCGTGTGGTTGGGGGCTACCACTTTTTCGGGTTACCGTGCGGAGAAACCCGATGGATGTACCGCCCACCCGAGAGACTTACGTCCCTTTGTGTTGTTGCATCATGCGCGCTCTTTTTCTGTTCTCCCGTTGACAAATGTCGTAATTTTCTTATCCCTATCGGGCGACGTCGCTCCTGTTGCAGGTTCGGAAAAAAACCGCGGCGGAAGTAGCCGAGGAGGAGGAGTTGCTCAAGAAGGAGGCCGACAAGATGGCCAGCCAGGGGGACGGGGGCGAAGAAGACGCCTTTCTACAGGACTTTGTGGGAAACCGCCGCTGGCTCGACCCACACTCCAAAGAAACCCCAAGGTGAGCAGTTTTCCTGTTTGGTCAGCGCGCCAGGCCGTTGAATTCTGATTGGTTGGGAAATTCTTCGGGAGTGGGTTAAGTCGGCCAGAGACGAAGCTTGCGTTACTGCTGTTGTCGATGAGATCCGCCCTCTGGATACGTGTATGAGAGGCGCCTGGTCCATCTTTGCTTGGTAGGCCGCCACCGTCCATCCAACGCAACACCAGCAATGTTTTTTTTTCCGTGCCATACACGAGGCTAACGTTTTCCTGATCTCCACCTCCTTTTCACGGTATGATGCTTACATCTGGGATTGGTGTGCCGTATGGTCGCGCGCTGTCTGTGTCTGTGTGTGTCGGAGTAGCTACGACGAGATCCTTAACGCTCCTCGCGTGGAAGACAGCGAGGACGAGGAGGACATCGACAAGGCCGACGACTTCGAGAGCAAGTACAACTTTAGGTTCGAGGAGGTGCGGTGATGTCCTTACGCCTGCATTGCAAAAAGAGTGGTTTTCTTCGGAGTGTACTCTCCCACGCTCCTCTCTTCGTGCAGGAACCCCTCTGTGCTGTTGTATCTGATCGGGGAGGAAGGGGGGAGGAAACGGTGTACCCGGAACATTGTGTTGTTGTGCAAGTATTTACCCCCCGCGTATCGAAGCAATACCGTTGGTCAGAGACCCACCTAGCCCTGTTTCGGCCGACCGCTCGGCCGAAACATTCCGTATTTTCCGCGCCGTATTGACTACTCGAAAGTTCAACAACACAAGTTCCACTGGCATGTAAATGTAGCGCCAGGTGCCGAGTAAGTACAGATGACGTGAGTGGTGCGAGCTACTTATACGTGCTCGAAAGGGGGCTTTTGATTGTAGACGTGGAACATACCTATTTAGTTTTCTTGTGGCGATTGAGACACACAAGGTTGTGGGGTGCCACTTCTAAGACCCGTTCTCACCCCGCCCCGTACAGTAAGAGGTGCGTTGTGAAATAGTGGCGTGACTATGGCGTACACACACAAGAAGGAAAGTTCACAGCCTGGGCCGATCGCTGCCTTTGTTGTTCTCAACAACAGTAACAGCGGCGTTTTGCAGGAAGGGCGTACTCATGTTTTGCATGCCTTAGACCATCTGCCACGCGTCCTCGAGAGAGCGGGCCATTATTCCCACAGGATCGATCACCGATGGCCAACCGTTCCTTCCTACTTCGCCAAAGGTGTCCCAAAAATGTTTTTCCTTAGCCTATCTATCCTACATCGATATCACTTCCCGTTTTGCAGGAAGGAGGTGGGGAGATCGCGATGCACTCGCGGGACGTGAAAGGGTCGATGCGGAGGAAGGACGACCGAAGAAAGCGAGAGAGGGAAAACCGCAAGTGAGTTGCAGCAAGCAGTATGTCCACAAACCGAAAGGGGTGTTCAAATCGACGTCTGGAACGTTTAGGATGACACTGACACAAACATAGGGCGTTGGCGGTCCCACGGGGTACGGTTTTGGCTTTTGGTGACTGCGTACACCAGCGAGCTGTGGAATCGGCATGTGCCTAACAAGTGGTTTCACTCGCAACGGCTACGGCCGTTTGAAGTCTGGTGTAAACGGCAAGCGCAAGACGAGGAGGGGATGGGACAATTTAGCCTGTTTCGATAGTATTTGTTGTACGCTACAAATTGTTGCTTCCAGCTGAATATGCAGCTCATCTTTGTTCTTGTCATGCCAGGGTACGCAAAGCCGAGGAGAGGCAGCGGAAAGAAGCCGAGCTGCGGCGCCTGAAGAACCTCAAGCGCGAGGAGATCAGGAAGCGCCTGCAAGCCATCCAGGACATGAGCGGCGGCGCCCTTCTGGAGGAGGAGGGGGAGGAGGAGGGGGGAAGGAGGGGGGGAGGGCGGCGGGGGGCAGCTGGAGGGGGAGTGGACGCGGAGGCCCTGATCGAGGGGGACTTCGACCCACAACAGTAAGCTCATCGTTGTTGTGTGGTTGTTATGTTGTGGTGGTGGTGTCGTTGTTGTTGTTGTTCCAGTTTGTTTGAGGTACCCTTTTCGTAGGCTCAGGAGCCAGGGGTTGGGGATGAGCACTACACATAGATTTTGACCCCCCCCTCCCGCGCTTTTCTTCTTGGTTTTGGTTTTTCCGGCTTGTCGCAAAAGGTGGGACGACGTGACAGGGAAGGCGTTCGGGGACGGCTACTACGAAGCCGAAGACGCCGACGACGGCTGGAAACCCGGTGATGATCCACTCGAGGGCCTCGGTGACCTAGATCAGTACAACGCCGCCGAACCTGCTGCCGCCGAGACCGACAGCAACGATGGAATGGCAGCCGGGGGCGCCGCCGATGGGGAGGAGGAGGAGGAGGAGGTGGGGGGTGGGTGGGAAGGTGAAGACGGGGGGTGGGAAGGTGAAGAGGGAGAGTGGGACGAAGGAGAGGGGGGGGGCGAGGAGGAGGAGGAGTTTGCGGGGATGGGGGCGCAGAAAGAGCGGCTCTTGGACGAGCTGTACAAGCTAGACTACGAGGACATCGTCGGGGACATCCCTTGCAGGTAAATAGGTGTCTGTGATCTTTTCAACAGTCGACAGGCGTTTTTCCTGCTGGTTTCGTGTCGATGGTCGGGGCCATCTGCTTCCGCGATGACCCCGTGTGTGCCCTTTTTTGTAGCACACGGACCTGTCGCCCCCTCCCTTCTTTATGTCCCTTCATGACTCCCGCGGCTGGCTCGCCCGCCACTCCTCCGAGCTCATGCTTCCCCTCACCTCATGTCGTGCGCGTGTTTTTTCATGTCCATCTTCGGTTAGGCGCCGGGTTAATCGCCTCGTTATTTGCGGGCTGGGCTATGGCTATGGTTATTTCAACCCTAACCGTATATTTTGGTGTGTTGGGGGTGTTGGTGCGGACGGGAGCACGGGACGCGCCTCCTGCACGAGTACAACTACGAGCATGAATGCACGGCGTGCCGGTGTTGGTTTTGCTTGACCTTTGCAGGAGTCGTCCGTCAAGGCCTGTCGGTGTTCTCACGCCTGGGGTACGCAGCAGTACGTGTTTGTTGCCTTCTCCTCAGATGGGTGCTGTCGGAGGGTACTGCGCTTGTCTGCAGTCAGTCATGGTGGATTTTATTTTTTTTCTTTGTTTCCGTCGCCGACACCATCCGCAGGTTCAAGTACACGAAAGTGAAGTCGAACGACTTCGGGCTGAGCGCGGAGGAGATTCTCCTGGCCGATGACAAGGTAACTTTATGCACAGAAATGAACCATCGATATTCCGCCAAGAAACCGTGATCGATATTGCAATCAGTGGTGTGGTAGTGTTTTGTCTCCAGCATCGATAGATTCAACTAATGGCATGACCGCTAGATATGGCTTTCGTGTCGGTCGGGCGAATTTGCTTGACCGCCTCCATGTGTGGTGCCGTGTCCACCTGCTGTATAGTGCATGTGGCCGGCAATCAGCCCTTTCTCCCCTCCCCACGCTCCCACCCGGGACTCTTGTTTTCAGCATTCCGTCCCTTTTGTGAAGCTTACTTGGAAACTATAGGCATCCTACCTCAGCCCTTGAAAATTTTCCAATTCCTTTTGAATACGGGCATGTTATACGCACATTGGTTCTTTCCCACACACCCTGTCACTTAATTTTACTTGCCCTGTCCTCTCTACGTAAAACCTGTCCTCTCTACGTAAAAACGCCTCATGTTTTTTTCTTTTTAGGAATTGAACAAGTACGTTCCCCTGAAGAAGCTTGCCCCCTACCGGAAGGACGAGCCTAAGCTGGACGCCCGCCGCCGCCGTAAGCTCCGGGAAGAGGTGAAGGAAAGAGAGGCGGCGGCAGAGAAAGAGATGCTGGCGCAGAGGTCGAAGAAGAGGCGCCGCGGCAAGAAGAAGAGCAGCGGAGGCCAGACCGCCGTGGGCGACGAGGCGGCGGCAGCGGCAGCGGCAGCGGCACCGGTGGCACAGGAAGCGGACGGCGAGAGCGGCGAGCCTCGTTCGGTGCCGGCGGGGGAGGCGGTGACGGAGCCGGCCGGAGGCAAGCGACGGCGGAGAAAGAAGGGGCAGAAGAAGCAGCGCGCCAAGGCGGGCGGAGGCGGCGGCGGCGAGGGCGTGGACGCGCAAGCGGAGGCGGAACTCGTGCCGCGCGTGGTGGCCGTGGAGGCGCCACCGGCGCCGGCGCCGTCGCCGTCCCCCCGGCAAAATCACGGCGCTCAAGCCGGGGACAACGGAACCACCACCACCAGTAGCAGCATCGCCGGCGGCGGCGGCGATGGCAAGAAGAAGAAAAGGCGGCGCCGGGCGTCGGAAGGAGGAGGGGCGGCGGAGGGAGAGGGCGCGCGGAACGGCGGGAACCCGAAGGAGGACGGGGGGGGTAAGACGGGCCGACCGGCGGTGGCCAAGATCGACGGCGGAGAGGGCGGGGGCGGTGGTACCGCCAAGAAACCGCGCACAGGGGGCGGAGGAAGAGGCGATCGGAAGGAGGGGGGTCAGGGTGGTGGGAAGAGTCCCGGGCAGAAGAACAGAAAAAAGAGTGCGGTCGTTGCGGGGGTTTCCAAGTCTCGTTTGGCGTCGTATGGCTTGTAGGTCGGCCGCGGTGAGAATGAGGTTTTCGTTTCCGGTGTGTCTTGATTTTATGGCAACCGGTTGTGGCGTTTGTTGGCGTGGAGTAGTACACGAACAAGGCAGGTCCGCATGGCGGTGTTTCATGCGTACATTACATTGAAACCGAGAAACTTCTTTTGTCAAGTGTCGTCAGTGCGCTATGTTGTGTAGGCGTTCTTGTCGTGCGATTTTGGTGCCTTCGTCTATTTAGCGCGTCTCCCCAGCTCTTTTCGGTTAGGATTTCCTCGAGTTTTTGTATGCATACAGCAGTACAGTAATTCGAGGAAAGCATTTGCATCGTATACATGTACTGTTGTGGTCGTGGTTTCAAACATGTGATGCAATTGCCAACTTGCCCAGAGTTCTTCTTCGGCTGGGTCCGGCACTGCAGTGTCCACCGCCCACTGCCCCGTGCGGGCGGAGACCTCGCGACTGCAAATTGTTCGAGATTCCTGCCCACTGCTGTGCGGAAAAGGATGGCCTTGTGGGCAAGTAGAGCTTTAGTAGGCGGTGTTGGCTGAAAGAGACATGGCCTTGTGGGCAGAAGAGCTAAAATAGGAGGCGTTGAATAAAAGAACTGCCTCCCGGAGAACACCTCGCCCAACACTGTCTCTCCCGTGCAAGCTGTCCATGCAGCCAACCGTTATGGTTACTGCCACCACGCACAACGCCCACAGCTCAACCTCACAACCAGCTGCTCTCACAACTCACAACCTACAACCCACAACCCAACCACAACAAGCAATGGACCACCACTCCACCCCAACAACCCCAACAACCCCAACACAACAAACAACAGCACACAGCTACACAACACACGGGGCACGGGGCACGGGGCGTTCAACACACAACACGAGTTCTGGTTCTCCCGAAGGTTCGGTGTTGTGGTATCAAGACATTTTGTTCCTTTTGGCGGGTTTGATAAAGGTTCGGGAGGCGGCATATCGAGCGAGAGAGGCGCCCCACGGGTCTCGCCCCAGGAAAAAAAAACAGATCAGACCAGACTCGTTCGTCGTTGCCCTCGTTGTTACCTCCTTCTGTGACGGAGAGTCTGGGTGCCCTTGGCTATGGAACAGAACAAATTTGCTGAATCATTGCGACGAAAGGTGTCCGATCTGAGGAGGGAGAACGCAGGCAAAGTCATGGTGAGAATCGATACGAAGCTCCGGGCGTCTCCTCTGCTGTACGTGTCCTATGTCCGATTTGTGTCCGGAACAAATGCGGCAGCAGCAGGCTTGCCTTTGGCCTGATGAAGCTCGGTGGTATTGGCACGTCCCGTTCAAGCGCAACTCCCCCTATCGTGTGGAGTGCACAGGTCTTATCAACACAGGCTATTCAGATATTTCCTCTTGCTGCACGTGGTGGGTGTGCTGTGTGATGCACGTTCAGTAATAGCCGTAGCTGTGCGAGGTGAGCATGTGAGAGCCTTGTACGTACAGCAGTACCGCGTCTCTCCTTTTGCCGACAAATGCGTACACCTTTGCCAACCACACTTGCAACATGTCATATACCTGCTTTCCACATGGTACGACGGTCTCGCCTAGTTCAATACCCTCTTCTTTCCCCCCCGCTCGATTGGCTGTAAAGAGGGTCGATGTCGGCGGTTGACTCTACCGGTTGCACCCTCTCTGCGTGAAGTCCCGTATCATATGCATAGCATCGGAGGTTCTACAATCCATACAGCAGGCTCGTGGCCGATACACAGAAAGCTACATAACGCGATACTCCACCGCATTTGTCCCGTTGATAGTAGTGTCGACCGGGAATTGAAAAAAATCCACAGCACCCTCTTTATATCCCGTAGGCTACGCACCCATGTGGTGGCTGTGTGGTTCCAGCACATTTGTGTCGAACGCCGGTGAGCCACAACTCATCCACAACTCATCCACAACTCATCCGTGCGGGAAGCGTTGACATCAACATTTTGTGACACACGCGGCTGGTCTTGGTACCGCTGTAAGCACGTGATGAAGAGGTCATGCGAATGGCGAGCCCTCGTTGGTCTAACTGAACAATCGTTGAAGACCCGATGGACGCCCAGCCTACAATGGGGATACGTGAAGACTGCCACAGCTTGCTGCGGCATGTAGCTGGCTAATGGAGTTGTTTGGCGTTTTTGCTTGTCTAGTTCCCGACGTACGTCTAGCTATGCACATTGAACCAAGAACAAGCAAAAGTCTGGCTCCATCCACCGCCCCCAATACGCTCCCCTGATGGTTTGCGTTGTTCCCGACTGCGGACGAACGTCTTCGTGATGCCCAGAACCTCTTAGCCTCTTCAGGGGAAGACCCAATGCCGGACGGCGATAGCACCGCGATGGAAGAGGAGGAGGAGGGAGCAGGGTCCCGAGAGGTGGAGACTTGCATCGAGTGCGAGGACCAGCACGCGGAGCTTGTGTGTCTGTCCTGCGAGGAGCCGTTTTGTCGACCTTGCTGGGGCTCCCTACACCGGTGAGCCAGTAAACCAGCATGCATCGCCGGGGTCTCCCTCGCAAACGATCGTCTTTGCTTGTTGCCCGCTGCCGTCAAAACATGGGAAGGCACCAACACCGAGGTTGAGGTTGGCAGCCTTTGGAGGGTGCAAAGGGATCGAGTGTCGCCGGTGGAGCGTGTCGCGTTTTTGAAGCTATTCCTTCTTGCCGAAAGTGCTTGGCGCTCGTGTTGTAGCCAACGATCCGAGCGCTTGAGTGTCGTGCTTGAGGCGTCTCTATTTGTGCACACCCTACACGCCACCGCGCTCTATCGAACACGAAATGGTAGAAGACGGAGCTAGACAACCGCAACAATGCTCCAGTTGGTGCAGCATTAATCCCAACCGTGACACCGAGGTACACATCCATCCATCCCAACCTGTTGTGTGTGTCGCCAGAATCTTCGCCAAGTGTTGGTGGAAGACAAGGGCTCTTAGTACGCCCAACCCATTCCCAGACGCTTCGTCCTGCCGCCCCATCGCACGTACAATATCTCAAACCCTGTGTCTGCCGTCAAGCCAAGTGATGATTGATTGCACTGATGTCGGTATGCACCACCGCGTTGTTGTTGCACACCCACGAGTCTCCTTATCCTCCTCTCGATCTCCCACCATTTTTTGGCTTTTTTTGTCTTATGTGCAGCCAAGGCAAGCGCGCGGAACACGTGACCCGGGCCATCCTCGGCGAGGTGATGCCCGCACCGACGGCCCCCACCTCATCCACGGAGCCCCCCACCCCCCCACTGCCCGAAACGGTCGGGCACGACGACGATGTAGACGGCGGCAGCGAGCAGTCCGACAGCGAAGGGAGCGCATGTGACGGTGATGGGGATCGCGATGACGGGCATGGCGGGGGCGACGCAATCGAGGGTGGGTTGGGGCAAGCGGGCGGTGGCGGCGGGGGTCACAAGAAGAAGGGTAAGTGATGAGGGGGGGGAGTTGCCAACGCGACAATGCGAGAGTATTATTGATGATGTAGGCGTGCAAAGTCTGAGTTAGGCCGTACTATCGGTTATGCATAGTGCAGGTGTTTTCCGCGTAGGTTCGTGAGAAGTAGAGGATCGTGCGCTACGTATGCCCTTGCTGCGACCGCTACTGCTGTGTCGACCGCTGCGGTGCACAGCGGCATTTTTTTGCGAGCACCACGTGCATGCGTCACACGTATGCTCCTCTCAAGGGCGCTTCAGAACAGCAATGTTGTGTGTGGTGGGCTGTTCTGGTGATGGCGGCTTGTTGTCGAGCAACCCTCAAACGAACAACCAACATGTGCATGAGTTTCCAGGACGTAACTCGTGTGCCTTTTAGCATGTGCAAACTACAGCCGGGGTAGAAGGGAACGGCCAACAACTCCCCCTCTATCTGGCAGTTAGGTTTTTCTGGACAACCGCCAGTTTCACAGCATGCAAGATCCAACCTGAATCTTACGTTTTGTTGTCTCTCTCTCTCTCCCCCTTTCTCTCATCGTTGCCAGTTCTCCCGATTGCTTTACCCCTCAGTCTATCAACGCCAACCGCGTCTGCGACACGGTTGTTACCCTTGCACCCTGTGCTATCTTCGTTGCGTCTAGAAAGTAAGAAGATCTATTCCCTCCCGAGCCCCCACCCTGTCGTCGAGGTTGCCTCTCGGGGAGGGGGAAACGATCGCACCCTCCCCGGCCACAGCAGTGCTTGATTCACGAAGTGAAAGCGACGTTGCCAGTTGTTTGCGCTGGTGGTGCGGCTTGCTCAGATGGCATTGTTCTCCTCGGTCTGTGTGCAGAGTGAGCGCTGCGGCGCCGGTTTTGTTGGTCTCCTTCAGCGCATTGACCCATCGCAGGGAGAAGGAATGCAGGCGTCAGTTTCGCTGTTCTTCAGCGCGTATTGACGCACCAATACAACGGAATGAATGCCTGCTGATTAATCGCGAATGAGTGGACACGTACACGGGTGTGGCGTTTTTTCCAAGCCCCCCCCTCTCGGTTGCTCCGTCCTTTCGAGGACGCGTGGTCAATGGTCTAACCGCTAAGGCATGCAAGACCTAAGAGTACGCCCCCCCCCCCCCCCCGGCTGCGTTTGGTGCACGGGGTCAGGGAGAACCCCGTGCGCAGCGCGGGGAGAGCCCGTGGGGCAGGCTCGCCGTGGGGATGCACGGGTCGAGTGTGCTGGAGGAGTGCCGGTTCATCCCGCTGAGGCTGGACGCGAGAGAGCGAGGCCTCCTGGCGATGCTGAAAGGGGCGCTGAACGTCTCGGAGTACACCGGACAGGTATAGTTCCCAAGTTGCTGCTAACGTTGTTGTTGTTGTTGTTGTTGTTGTTGTTGTTGTTGTTGTTGTTGTTGTTGTTGTTGTTGCTGCTGCTAACGTTATTGTTGATGCTTTTGTTGTTGTCGCTGTTCCTGTTGTTGTTGTTGTTGCCGATGCTGTTGTTGCTGTTGTTGTGGTTACCGGTATTGATGCTGCCGTTGTCTGTGCTGTTGTTGTTGTTGCTCGATTTCAAAGCGAGACCTGCGTTGCTCAGTTTGCAGAGTATCGAGTTTTGCCACCGTGCGTATCGAGCGTTCCACCCTGTTTAGGCAGACAGCTTGTTTGTTGCCAGGAGCGCATGGAAAAGTTCCACCCGAAGGACTTTCTTGACTGCTGTTTGTTGAGAGAGAGGAGAGGAGAGCGTGATGCCCTGCCGGGGGGCCCGTCGCTCTACCGCCCTACGCCACGTAACCCCCAACAGATCAGTATGGAGTGCCGGGCACAGTACCCGAACAACACAACCGCCGTGCACGACCGCTATTCTCGCTGTTTGGTTGCCGCTCTCGTTATGATTGTAGTACAACACGCACGCACCCCAACTGTTTTCACGAAGTGGTTGCTGTGACTTGCGACGCGCTGCAGAGGACTGCTGGACCCGGCCGGCTCCACGAGAGCCCACGCCATCTGTGGGAGACGTCTCGCGAGGAAAAAAACGCAGCAGCAGCGAGCCGACTGCACGGTACAACTAACTCCACAGGAGCCTAAGACTGAAGCAGCAGTGCAGTGCCTCAACTGCTACGAACAAACTGGCAGATGTCCAACGTATTTGAACATATGCCAGTTTTTTCGCAGCAGTTGAGGCACTGCACTGCTGCTTCAGTCTTAAGCTCCTGTGGAGTTCGTTGTCCCGTGCAGTCGGCTCGCTGCTGCTGCGTTTT